GAAGAGGCTGAAACGGTGACCACCCCCCCCCACACCCTCCCCCCGCTCGGTCGCTTGGCTCCCTCGCCTGGTCGCTTCGCGCCCGAGCAGGGGCGTGTGACGGGGGGGTGCGGGGGGGCCCGACCCCCCCCCCTTGCTCGCGCAGAAAACGCATCTGAGGGGGTCTAATTTTAAAAATAATGTATATAGTATACGTGTATAGTATACGTGTATAGGTGTATAGTATAATTACCAGGTGTGGATGAACAAAGTAGGCCTACTGATGTAGCACATCTTATAGTAATTTAACAGCGTTTAGCATCCATCAGCATTTTTTGCTATCACACGAATGCATTCACTATAATATGTACTTGCATTGAATTATATGCAATAACAAATTATTAATAACAAATAAAGAATGTTTACGTGCCACTGCATGTAAGTATGCATGTAGTATGTAAGTATGTATGCACAGTATGCAGTAATATATAACTAATTATATATATGTGTGTGTATTCACACAGGCTATGGTTCACACCCACTGATCTCTATAATATATAGATATATAATAGATTATATTATAGAGATCAGTGTTCACACCAGCTGCCGATAGTAGGTGGCGCTGTGACCTCTAATTCTAAAAAATCTTTAACACCAGAACAGCTGGGATTAGGCTAGTGGAGTAATGAGAGTTAGCAGTTTTTGTACTAGGAACATCCACTGAGGTAAGCTGCTTCTCATGATTTTGTTATGTAGTTAGATTTAATTTCCATAATATATTTACATCGAAATTGATTTTCAATATAATATAATGCTATATGACGCAATATAATATGTCAAAAATCCATTTCTGAATGTGCAATCCCAGTGGCAGTGCGAGTGGTAGGGCAGGCCTTGCCCTTAGCTCCAAGAAACGATAGAGCTCTAGGGTTAGAATACCGATATAGACATCCGGTGTATTGACGTTAGTCACACAGCCTGGTCGGGTTAGGCAGGCCTGAGCCTGAAAAGCAAAGGGAACACTGAACTAAACACTCGGATTGTAACGAGGAGGAAACTTGCATTGCCTGAAGATTGGTCGAAAGTAGCGATCTGGCTCAGATAATCGAGTACAAATAATGCTGAGCGTAGTAACGATTTCTCATGTTTTCTCAGCTGTTGACTGTGTTGTCATGTTTTCTTACCTGCCCTGATACTTACCGGTACTCCTTGCATAACAGCAAATGTACACAGTAAGGCTAACATGTCTTAGCACAATCACACATTATTTTCTCCCATATATACACCGATCTGCATTTTAAACTGGGTTTGTTTACATATTATGTCAACATCAATAGTATGTGATTCTCATCTTTCACGAGATTTTATCGACTGGCACCCTGATCTTTACAAGTCTACACTTTGTTACCTATGTATAAATGGCATAACTTTGCTGTTCATTAGCTGTATTATAACATATATCAGCATAAACTATTAGTAATTTTTCTGCTAATAGGTGAGACCTAATTTGTCTGCATGTTTTTATTTTTTATTTTTATTTTTAATGATTATGACTTTCTTTACACAATAAGTTGACACATAGATGCACAAATTGAAGAGTTTTTCACCATAGTATCTTGTGGTCGGCATCATACATCACATCCCCTAAAATCAGTTAGCATATATGTGTGCTTTATGTGAGCTGTCTATGCGAGCATGTGTACATAAAAATATCTTGTTTTCTCCCTAGGGAACCACTTCATTGCTGCCATCATGGTTGTAGAGCATTTGCACTGTGCAACCTGCTACAAGGTATCCCGTTGTAACAAAAGGCCAGAGGAGAACATTAGCTGTGTTATAGTGAACTGTGATCAGGAATGTGGTGCCAGGTTTCATGCCTGCAAAAAAGACGAGCACTTCCTTTTATGTCCAGACGAGCGAGTGCCATGCATCAATGCTGTGAATGGTTGCACGTGGGTGCTACCCCGCTCCAAGCTTGGCTCTCACCTACAGAGGTGTCCGGCTAGTGTCGTTTACTGCACGATGGAGTGGAATCGATGGCCTGTGTTCACTCAGGAGAGACATAAGAATGGAAACTTGCAGCATAAGAACCCTTACGCACGAGTTGGACAGTTAGACGTCGAGTTGGCTATGAGAGATCAGCGGATGCTGAACACGTCAATGAAGGTCAACGCTAAAACAAAGCGTGTGCTCAGGAACAATCTGACTCGTCGCTTCCCAGCCATGCCGATGCTGCAGCACCGGACTGTTTCTCTAGACTCCGACGCTGCTGACGACACCTCCACTGCGAGAACAACGTCCGACGATGAGATGGACACGCCGTGGGGGTCACGTCAGGCGCCTCCCGGCCTTTCAAGTAGTGTCTGTGGCCAGCTAGTCAAGGCAGCTGACCAAACATCGCAGCATTTGGATGCAGCATTGAACATGCTTGAGTACAGTAGCACTAAGGCAGGAGACAGCACAGAGGACCCGGCTTCAGCCTTGAAGCGTAAGGGTATGCTGAACCTCGACGCACTTGCAAGGGGTGAATACATCGTTTATGACGCACCTGCGAGTTCAGGAAACGCGATGAATGAGTATTTGGATGATTGCCAAATGGTCGATGAAAACAGACAAGATTTGGTGGATGGTGCTGCGAATGCTGACAGAATGAAGGGTGCTTGTCAATCTATTATTGCCCAGGTGTCACAGATAGTTGATCATATTTGCAATGGACATGCACAGAACAATGATAGCAGTCCAGCTGACTCAGAAGTTATAAAAACAAATGGACAAAGTCACAGGACTACATTTTTAGATGACAATGGCAACAGCACTAAGGTAGGCAATGATAATGGAACGACATTAGACAGCCATGCAGCAGTGCACAGTGTTCTGCCAACAATGGAGGCTTTAAAAACTGCTATCAAAGTGAGAGTCAATGACACACATAAGCCGATCGACCCTGTCACTGGCATAGAGGTCACACATGCACCAATCATAGATCCAGTGACAGGGTTAGATCTGGAATCAGCTGTTGTTCCAAAAGTGAGGAGTCCATGCTTTACTGCCTCATTGATGATACGTGAAGAACTGAAGAAAGAGTTGCAAGAGATTAAGCAAACACTGGGGAATACACTTTCTACACCCCAGCACATTGAAATAGTTGGAGGTGTTGAAGTGTCATGCTCTGCGAAAGAGAGAAGTCCATGTTTTAAGGCTTCCTTTGGGGGATTGCACCAGCAACAAGGTGAGCAGGAGATTAATAATGAGACTGTAAACAACGGTAATTGCCTAGAACTTGAAAATATAGAAATGACCCAAAGTGAAGAAGAGCTGAGCGAAGAGCCAGATACACAAGAGAATGGTGGTGGCAAATCAAGTGAATGTGCAGCAAGTCAACAGCTCAGTAAAATTTCGACCTTACCTAGTACAGCAGTAGCAATTTCCACTGATCAGCTGGATGCTAATACTACACTGGTTAAAAATTGTGAGGAAAGGGTTTTGTTAAAGAATGAAATTTCCATCTCTAGTTGTTTGTGGGACCAAAGTAATTCACAATCTTCAGGCAATAATGGCAGCTGGGTTTGTAACGATACTGATAAAAATGTTGAATACATATCATCAATGTTAGGTATAATGGATTTGCGAAGTGCTCTGACAACAGCAACTGTGAATGATCGAAGTGCCTTACGCATGTCAGGTGATGCTGCTGTTTCAGGTCAGGCAATATGTGACAGCTATATTCCTTGTAAAGCTAGCGGTGCCATTGAGAGTGTCAATCCACAAGCTAAAGATATCCCTGTAAATCAGGCCAACACAACGAATGATGCTCAGTCCACTTCATACACATATCATGTTTCTGCAAATCAAGTGTCTAGTACTGATCATTGTGATAGATACTCACCTCTCACTGTTCCTGAGAACGTTTTATCTGATGTGCAGAATACCACCGAGCAGCCTAGTTGCTATCATGTTCAATCGCATGGTGAACTGCAGGCCCAGCACCTCATTTTCCCATTAAAAAGTGCAGCTCCACCACCTCCACCTCCTCCTCCTCCACCACCACCACCACCTCCGGCACCACCGCCCCCTCCCTCATGTGGTGTACCTTTAATGACAAAACGAACACTGGGCCTGGACCTGACAATGGAATTCATCACGCGTTATCAGTCGAAGCCGAAAGCGATGTACACGTTCATGTGTGCTCAGTCGTTCCGGCGGGATGAGTACAGCTGGCACTACAAGAACGTGCACAGCGACATTCACGGTGGCCTGAACGGCTGGCTGGAGCAGCGCTGCCCGCTCTCCTGCTATGGCTGTATGCACTCCGTGCGCCGCATGTACCCGTGCGTGCCAGGTGCCGAAGTTGTCCACAACGACGTCATCGAAAGTTTTGGATGGAAGCCAGTCGTGCACACTGTGAACCAGCTGATGGGGAGGCTGAAGAAATCGCCGAGCCCGCCTCGAAAGCGCTCGCCCTCGCCCGTGAAAGCCGCGCTTGCCTACCCGGTGATACCAGAGGAAGTGGTGTGCGTGTATGATATCAGTCCGATTGATGCGTTGTCGTCGCTGCCATTTGAACTGCTCCGTCACATTAGTCGGTTTCTTGATGGCTTCAGCCTTTGCAACCTGGCTCTGGCTAGCCAGCTGCTGAGGGACGTGTGCTGCTCTCTTCTGGACGAAAAGGGTATCGTAGTTTTGGAATGGGAGCGACGGAAGTATGGCACCAACTACACCTGGCAGGTCGCTTACAAGGTAACTGTGATGCCGTGTTAAGGTTGGCTACTGTATCACGTCGTTGAAAGTGTACCTTAGCTTTTTACAATGACCACCATGCAATTACAATGTGGCAATAATTATAAGGCATCAATAATATGTTTTTATAATCTGACAATTAAAAATTTAAATTTTTATGAACATTTCTGTGTTTATGTGCAGTGAGTTTTTCATGTTTATAGCATCAATTCCATTACGAATTTGTGTGATTTTCTACCGTTATGACTGTGTTTGAGTGATTATTGCCCTGATATGATGGATTGTGTTTCTACAGAGATGGTTCTTTAGCACGGCATTTTCTCCCATCACCCAATGGGGCTTCGTTGACAACACAGGTATGGACTTGCACATGAAGACCTGTCCATTCTATGAGACCATTCGGAGAACTGAGCCCTTCTGCTATCCAGCTGAGCAGAAAAGCATCAAAATGGCACAGACACGTCGAGGGGACCTTCTCGCACTACAGCTAGACAAGGCAGCTTTATAGACTAGTACTTAAGTTCATGCTGTTCATCATTTGTCGAACTCTAAATTCAGCTGGTATAACATTATTGTGACACTCTTTATTGTGAGTAGGGACTGAAACAGCCAAGTAGTTCGTTGTAATTCAAGTGTAGTTTAGTTCATTTACTAATGTACTAAACAGCTGTTTCTTGAAAGTTTATATAATTATATATATACAGTGATCTCTCTGTACAGCCATCTTTAAACCATGTGCCCATGCATAATGTAATTTTGGTCGCTTTCAGTTTTCTAAACCCATGGTACTGCTGTGACATTTTGAGTTTTTGTTAAGCAACTGCATGGTAAAATTTGTATGTCTGCAGCCATGATCTCATCATTAGCAGTTTACGGACACACCACCGAAATGCATGCATTCAATTCTGTGGCTGCAGTCAGATTGCTTCATAAAATCTGTTATCACAGAGAGAGTCGCCCATGCATTCTAGCAAGGTGCGAGCATTGTAGTATTTGAGCGGTAAGATGTCCATGATGCATTATGAAAAGTCATTTAATTTCATAAAAGGCCATAGGCATAGTTCGCATTCTGTTTATTTAATTAAGTCAGTACACGAAATGTTATGCTGAAAGGAGGCTGTGCGTTTTGGATTTAGTGAGTGATGCATGCATGCATTACATCAAGAGCGTATAAAGAGGGAGAGCGTACAACGGTGAAATGCTGAAACCATGTTGCAGTATTAGTCGAATTAATAAACTTTCCCCGTATTATTTTGACGATTCTTTGCAGAATTATTGATCAGCTGTCCTACCTTGTTAATATAAAACAAACCGCATGTCCCTACGATGCCTCTACGCTGAGATAATGAGCGGTGAAAATCTGGAAATGCTGGAGATCAGTTTTTACTGCGACTGTCTCTCGTTTTGTTGACTGTATGTTGCTTCCGGTCGCCACTGTGTAGCGCTGACTCGATACGTTATTACTACAGCGTTGCTACATCCAGCGTAAGGGGCGGGTGATCACCATGGCGATAAATAACGACGTTTTTGTGGAGTAATGGCTGCGTCAATGACTGGAAATGCGAGAAAAGATAGTAGAAGGAAAATAAATTTCATTGTCAATGAATGACGGAAACACTCGAGGTTTCCCGAAGCTATCGCCAGAACGAGAGACAGTCGCAGCCACTACGTATCTCCAGTCGGTTTTCGGCGAAAATACCAGATTTTCACCGCTCATTACCTCAGCGTAGAGGCATCGTAGGGACAAGCGGTTTGTTTTATATTAGCAAGGTAGGACAGCTAACCACAAAGAATTGTCAAAATAAAACGGGCAAAGTTTATTAATTCGACTAATACTGCAGCATTGTTTCAGCATTTCACCGTTGTACGCTCTCCTTCTTAATACGCTCTTGATTACATGCATGTGATACAATTCTGAGCGATGCATGTACAGGTTTAAAGATTAGCTACTGTTCTCTCTTTAATGCGGTAATTTGTCACTCAGTCAACCCGTAGCGTCACTCGTACTATGTGTGTGTACGTGCATACGTGCATGCGTGCGTGCCTGCGCGTGTGTGTTGTATGTCTGTGCGCGCGCGTGCGCGTGCGCGCGTGTGTGTGTGTGTATGTGTGTGTGTCAACGAGAACACGTGTATGTTGTATGTGTATGCATGCGTGCGTGCGCGTGCATGCGTGTGTGTGTGTGCGTACGTGCGTGAGTGCGCGTGTGTGCCATCGAGCACGTATATGGTGTATGTCTGTGCGTGTGTACACGTGTGTGTCGTATTTGTGCATGTTTGCGTGCGTGCGTGCCTGCACGTGTGTGTTGTATGTGTGTGCGTGCGTGCGTGCACGTGCGTGTTGTGGGCATGTCTCGTGTGTAAGTGCTGTTACTATTGTGTTGTGAACTGTTCTAAAACTTAAACATCGATGTTATGTCTAAATTATGGATCTGTGATTTTAGGAGAATTCCGCAACTGCTACGTAACTGAATGCTTCTCCAGCTCTAGTATCACTTACAAGTAGAAGAAATTCCTGCACAGTAGTTCATAGGGCTCGTACAAAATTCAGTTTTCACTGAGACAAAAACAGTTTGTCGGAGTGGATGTATGTGCCATAGGGAGGGCCCACGCAGACACCAGCAGTAAACATTTCTTTATGCTGTACCTTTTATTTCCTGTAGCTTAATGAATTGTTGGGGAAACTATTCAGATATCGTTTAAATCGTTAATTACAGCTGTGACACTTATTAGAGTCTATTATTTAATTTTTTTATTGAAACATTGAAATATTGAGTCATTTCTGTGCTAAATGTGCGTGTACTTAGACTGTCGGGATATTTTGCACAATAGTCTAGCTTTCGGCTGTGATGTTTAACAACTGATTTTATTTAATATATGTTCTTTACATATATGTGGTCATTATGCAATGATCGTAATGTGTGTCGAAATCGGGATCAGGAAATAATTGTATTTACACACGATATGTAATGTACTGATACCTATATACATGCCCATTAGTCTGTTTATTTAATTTATTGTTGTTAACTGCTTTTTCCTTTTTAACGAATTATCGTGCATAAACATTTTACGGAAGATCAGACCAGAAACTCATTGAAATGAATTTATTAAGCCATTTATTAAAACACTGTATTGGACTGGTGTTACTTGAGTGTCATAAGAGTACGAGCTTCCATTACAATCGAGATTCTATGGAGAGAGATTCCATTACAATAGTACTCCTTACGTAGCAGTGCAGATCTGCATACGGCGTTGCCGCGACTGTCGGTACCCGCCATACACAACAGTTCATAACAGGACCGAGTTCCAGATAGCATTTCGTATAATTAAACCTACTATAGCTTACACGATGCTGTAATTCCATTGTGTAATTTTTTACATGTCACTTGGTGTTAATTAGAATTCGGTCGCGCACTGCTGCTTTTATGCTCGTAATATAGCGGTAATATATGGTTCGTAACTTCGTGGGTATCGGTTATAGATCATTGTATGCCATTAAGATACTGCTAGGATTCGTTGAAAATATGGATGGCAGGGCAGGAAGTGTGCAGTCTCGAGTGTTCCGTATCCGAATTCACACCGAAGATGTACGTAATTGTAACATGATAGTTAAAATGAAATGGAATCATAAGACAATGAATACAATAAATATAAATGTGTGTCACGTTATCGTACACATACACTTCCCAATACGTATTGGAAAATATTGCAATACGGTTTTGTCGTATTGCAATATATTGCAATACGGTTTTTGGTCGCAATACTCACCCCTAGTTAGGGTTAAAGTTAGGGTTAGGGAGTAGGCGAGGTACGGTCCGGCATATTCGATAGTAGTATTTAGTACCAGGGTACGTTCCGGTACCCAGGGTACGTTCCGGCAGTACCCTGGGGAAACTAGACCCTATCAGCCACACTTATCTGTTCTCTAACAAGTGAATGTCATAACTGTATGTAAGGGTTTCCTGTTTCTGCCAACAGGGTGTGAGAAGGCAGCACACACAAGAGCATGGAATAGTGCAGTTACAAATACAGCGATTGCTGCTGTACCGAACAAGACACCGTCGCACTCATACCTAGTATCTGAAGAAAATGAGCAGGTGAGCAAGTGTAATGTGTATGCCCATATGTCTGTGCACGTATGCGTATGTTGCTTCATGCACGAGTGCATATGTGTGCTTGTGTGCACGCGTACATGTGCATCTATACTGATGGAAACACGGCGTCAAGAGGGGGTTGACTTGAAAGCCTATATAGTGCTACTTTGACCCTCACAGCACTCATTTGTTAGCAAGTTCACGATTCTTTTTTATTTATACTCTCACGTTATACCTATCTTACACCTGCTGTATTGTAACCAGTGAGACATGATACAAGATTGCGTGGCACAGCTTTGCTGTTGATCCTAAGCGCTGCACGCGGATGAGACGCGCAGTTTCGCGGGATATGCGCACGCGACCGCAGGGATGTTCAAGTATGAAGCGCTGTCCGCAGTGGAGACGTGCCAAATTTGAGGCCCGGCGCACGTCTCTACAGCGGTCAGTGGATGGTCTGTAGTTTTAGAAGATGACAATGATTATATATGGACGATATTCTAGGAATTGGAGATTATAAAACAATAACAAAAATCGCTCAGTCATGCTCCAGATTAGCTGAATCAAAAAGATTAGAATTTAATATGAACAAAACAAATACAATGGTTTTAAAATTCACAAACAAAGAAAGGATAGAGAAGGAGATATTAATAGGCAACCAAGTAATCAAAAAATGCACCAAATATTCATACCTAGGGGATTTAATTAATGATATAGGCGGTTATAACGATATGATAAGAGTCCGAACTGAAAAATGTAGGTTCATGATCAGGCGCGGATTTAGGCCGGTTTGCACCGGTTTCCAGAAACCGGTCACAGGCCTCAAAATTCACCAGAATGCACCAAATATAGCCTAATTAAAAAAAAATTCCCGGTAGGGCATGCCCCCTAGCTGCAGAAGAACATATAGAAACTGGTCACCCAAACCCTCTGGAGCCGCCCCTGATGACGAGGGAAATATTATCATGGGCAGAAGAGCAAAATTATGGAAATCATACTATGGAAGCAATTAAGAGAAATTATACGAATGCACAGTTTTACATTCCTTCCTAAATAACAGTGAAACATGGACTTAAGGAAGAAGTAAAAATGTTGGAGGATTTCTAGAATGAGTGCCTGCGCAAAATAATAATCACGCAGAAAACGCAGAAAAATCTACCAAAAGGCATTGAAAGACGATGAAAACTCCAAGGAAAAATACGGAGTAAATAAAAATAACATATAGTTTCTATACGTAAATCGTGGTAAATACATTAAAAACGCATTATTTTTAGCTCATCTGACGTAGTCAGATGCAGCTTGTAGAATCGCATGATCGTCCGTCCGTCCGGTCGTCCGTCCGTCCGTCAACAGTTGGGCACAAATCTTAACCGCTCGACGTACGGTCACGATATTCGGGTCGTTAGTATTCTCTGGCTTGATGGTAGCCTCTATTTTTCTATAGTCTTTAAATGTTATATTTGTCAGTACCCGCGATCTACACATGAATGTCCATATATACGAACACACATTGATTTCCTGCAACTTGAGGTACTGATGTCGCAGTCTTTCGCAGTAATTTGCTCTTTACGTAATATATTCAAGTAAAATGTGTAGGAATCGATATATGTAATTTATGTGCGCTTGCTCAAATTTTTACAGCACCCAAGGATATTTAAATAGAGGTTATATCCTACACGGATGGAGTGTTACCACGGCAATTCAAAATGTGTAGTTGAATAAAAAATTGCATGTTTGTACCTACATCAGTGTTACTCTTTTCGTTTGTTAGTAAAATGTTTACGATTTAATTTTTATTTTTACGATCAAAAAGTTTCAAGGTTAACGTTGCGACAACGCGGTTAACGCGGGTAGTGTAAGAATTCGACAATGCCCGCTGACGTCATGCGGGTGACTACGGTTGCCATCACAACTCGCGCTGTATGATATCAGTTTCACTTGGAGGCGTGGCTTCTGTTTTATGATTTGCTGGAATTACGAGAATTAAATTGGCAAGTAATTTTTAACTCTGCTGTCTCAAGTATGCCGTGGATATAGCGCAATACCGGTCTTGTGCACCGATTTGCAGATATAAAATGACAGATATAAATTAGCGGCATTGCATAGAACAACTGGTAAAATGTTTAGTGGCTTCAAGACGCACGAGAATAAGCAAGCGGTTAATGAGAACGAACAGCAACATGCAGAACCTGAGATATCTCAAGCAACTTCTCCGGGTCCTAATGAAACTATCCGCGCCAAGCAGATGACTGTGTTAGAAGCCCATGGCTATACTCTCGGCAAGACACTTGGTCACGGATCGTATGCTACGGTAAAAGAAGCCTACTCGTCACGGCACAAAACGAGAGTCGCCATCAAGGTCATCAGTAAGAGAAAATCTCCATCGGACTTCATTGACAAGTTTCTTCCACGTGAAATCGAGGTAATAAAGCTGCTCAAACACAGGTGCTTGGTGACGTTCTTGCAGTCAATTGAGACCACTAACCGTGTGTACATGATAATGGAAGTATGCGACAATGGAGACCTTCTAGACGTAATCAAGACCGAAAAGTACATTGCAGAACGGCAAGCGGGCTTCTGGTTTCATCAGCTAATAGACGGTTTGGTGTATCTACACAGCAAAGGTATCGTCCACCGTGATCTCAAATGCGAGAACCTGCTCCTCGACAAACGCAATACATTGAAGATAACCGATTATGGGTTCGCGCGCTACGACGTGAAGTCTAGTGCGGATGTTGCCACTGTGCTCAGTGAGACATACTGCGGCAGTTACGCGTACGCTCCACCAGAAATTTTGTGTGGAATCCCGTATGACCCGCAGAGAGCGGACATTTGGAGTGCGGGCATCGTCCTCTTTACGATGGTCTTTGGTCGCCTGCCATTTGATGACTCGAATCATAAGACTTTGGTCAAACAAGTACAAGGGAAAATATTCTTCCCGTCCGAGCCGACGGTTCCTGGAGATTGTAGAAACCTAATAACTATCGTCTTGTGCAATGCGAGAGAGCGTGCCACCCTCAATACTATTCGGCAGGATGATTGGTACAAGAGAGTCCGACCTGAAAACATCATGATTCGCGAGAGCATCAAAGCACTATCGACGCACGAAGCTAGCTATACTCCACCTAGACCTCATGTGATACTCTAAAATACTTTGCAATTTTTATTTTCACTGTCTCGTGCGATGCTCTGGTGAAATGGTGTTGATAAGGTATATAGCTATTAATAAGCGATGAATTTATTATGCCCTGTTCCATATAAACGTTATAGAAACAGGATGATCAAGAGGGTTAGTCAATTTTCATTTTAACATTTAATTATACAATGAATAATCTTAAATGCATTTATTATAACAGGGCGTCTATATTTACATATATTACAGAATTCCAGTATATTCTAACTAAACATATTTTTCTGTTGTATGATTAACAATGTATACCAGATTTCAGTTATATTCATGCACGCATGTATATATAATATAACAGTCTATGGATACAATGATAAGTACAAATTTGAAGTTGTATATTTACCTACATCCGACTATATCAGCAACTATTTATCGTATTTTGACTTCCAACATCTTAATTTGTCATATACAGCTCGTAGAAGTTCATTTTTGTGTTTTAAGAGTGTGTTGTCTGACACGGATTCCCTTGGCTTAAAGTTTTTGCTATTATAATGATGCAAGTATGCGATCTCAACTGGTACAACGTAATCGGTAAAGCCCAGTACATAATCGCGTGCAAAGTGAATTCCAACTTTAGTGACAACCTGTGGGTCGACGATAGATTTGGTGCGCCTATACGGCGGAAAGAATTTCACCGACCTTGCAAGGTTATTTGTAAATTGCATATCACTTTTCACTAGCGGGCAGTAATCACCATCCATTGACGTCACGCGCGTATCAACGCGTCCGAAGAAGGAATTACGGAAGAGATATGCACCAATATAGTCTTTCGGAAATAATGCAAGCATTTCGTTCCACGTCGCTTGATGGTTGGGCACGATAATCTCATCCATATCGTACAGTGCCGTGTACCGGAAATCATGGCGGTACCTGAAACATTCATATTGGCGTGACGATAGTTACTATTTGCGCTTAGTTCAGGTTTTCATTTCATCATCAATTTCACGCAAGGAACGGCATGCGTATCTATTATAACACGTCATAGAACGAAACTGTATAAGATGAATTAATAATAACATTATTTTAACCAATTATGATTAGCAATGTGACCGCCAATAAACTAGCATATAGTTCGTTAAAGAAGTTGAAAGATACTGTTCGTTATATCCCCTGCATATTAATATGTAGAATGATCCGATAATGATATACCTGTGCAAGCAATCATTCATGCATGACACCTGGCCCGCGTAATGAATCTGGAGACGCGAATCGCGTGGAGTACCCGGGTGAGTCCATGTGGTAAGCTTGTCCATTATATTCCACTGCACTACATCCACAAAGCCTTCGGTCTGGTACTCTCGAATTAGGCTCTCTGCTGCTTTTCCCATGCTCACATTATATACAACCACCTTCTCGACGCCTAGAATTCGGTGCATCTCGAGAGTCTCTACCAAAGGGACGATGTCAGAGAAGTCGTTCATGATCATCGGAAAACATAAACCAAACATCACTTTCGTTCGCCGCCAGACATCCGGCGTGTTCAGAACAGCGAGAACGTTTCCCGGGGCTGTGTCGCAGGACGTCGCTGCTAGCGATATTGCGTAGGGAATGTCGGGAGTCAGAGGCAATGGACATATATAGTAGAACGATGTCCACGGTCGTTCGTGGTGGAATGGAATTTCGTCGGCTTGCGCAAGAACTGTGACGACTCCCTCTCTGATCGCCCATGAGCTTCCGGCTGTCTCAAACCACATAACGCACAGCAGCGGCCGCGAGTCATCCCGTCGCGAATTAGCGACGATGCGCACGAAATGAGACTTTTCGTAGTAGGCGGAAAACACAATGGTGTCGCGCCCTTTCACATCTTGCCATTTTTGCTGGTCTCGCACGCGTGGCTGTTTCGCATCATTCGAATCGCAGATCACCATGTCGGCATCCACCATCTCTTGTTGATTGAACGCCAGCCCTCTCCATCGCACTACCTTACGTTTGCCACTGGCCCGCCACGCGTAGACGATAACGAAACATACAATTCCAGCTAGCAGTAATCGTTTCGCCCGTCGCATGGCTAACATCCTTACTAATAGTGTCATCTGAGAAAACACAACTATTCACTTATTGTTTCGTTATAGATGCTTTACATCATTATAGATCATTATAACATAAAGATGCGAAAACTGCACTCCAAAGGCACATATAGCACTTAACATATTGCATGTAAAAACGTAGGCACAAATGTTACTGGCACAACAGCCTGGAAAACAATGAGTATAGCGTGATCCCAAGATGAGAACAAAATGAAGCGAAGCGGCTAGCTTACCCTATAAAAGTGAGTGCTACGAACAGACCATTGTCGCGAGGTACAGAGCGAGTACGCAATAGACCGTGGCTAGTAAAACCTGTTTCCATACGCGGAAGAGCACGCTATATAAACCTAGCATAAATTTAGCAGGCAAGATATAGCTGCAGATAATCTGGACCCAAAGTACAAAGCAGAATAACCAGAACTCGATCAGGAATTGCCTAGAAGAATCTATACATGCCTGGATGTATGAAGCTAAAATGTCACAATGAAATTCCAAGCTAATTTTGGTTGAAGAAGGTTTATGCTCCTTAAATCGTATAATTTCTATGGCATTCTGTACTGTCAGTGTTTACTTATGCCACTGCCAGTGGCCACTGCCTGTGCATGTGGTGGTGATAGTAGGGTGTAGTTTTTGCCTGCGTTAATTAATTACAGGTGGCAGCTCTCTATTTCAGCCTGTAGGATTGCGAAGGTAAATAGATGAGTGCTTACCTATTCTGGCTTGCAAATAGTTGTTGCTATACTTCGTACGATGGGAGCTTCCATCTTTAATCTTAAGACACTCAAACGTACGCGCCATCTCGTGGCAACTTTCATAACGATCCCAACGAACATTTCTCGAGAAGGTTCCTGATACCATCCCAGTGTTCGAAATAAGGGCTATCCGTTTGTCCGTACTTGTCCATTTCCACGGAGGACAAGTAGATCTGTTCAGTAGCTTGTCCGCCGGACAAGCAGCTTTTAAGAGCAATTTTTCATAATTTGCTACCATCGCTGGCCGCTGCTGGGAAACCCGAGTTAACATAGTATAAACATGGGCTGCCGGAGTGCCACCCGAATTAACATATAGTATAAACATTTATGTGAAGTTATATAAAAACGTTACCGCCTTGCTAGCTCCACGAAACGCGTCTTGCTAGGTTAGAAGACATCAGACAATCAGACATCTGTATAGACAATCAGTCGCACAGCCTCGTCTATGGCAGCCGAGAAGGGACATAAATGATATTTATGTACCGTCATTAAATCGATTTATGTACCGTCATTAAATCGATTTATGTACCGTCATTAAATCGATTTATGTACTGTCATTAAATCAACCAATCAGATGCAACTTATTTGTGCTCAGCCAATCACAAACATGGAATTATGTACCATCATTAAATCGATTTATGTACCGTCACTAAATCATTTATGTACCATCATTAAATCAACCAAGGCGAGAAGTGACATAAATACTTCCTTACATAAATTAACCAATCACAGCCTACGATACAAAGATCCGCCAGGGCGGCGCCAGCTATCTTCCGTACATAATTCGCCGCGCTGGCCGGTGCCCGGCCATCATCGCTACTAACTTGCCTACGTTTTGAAATAAGCCAGATCGGAAAGTCCCGCCGCCATATTGAGGTCAAAGTGCAAGGGGCATAACATTGCCTTGGCGCGCCATTGAGAAGTACGCGAAAAATGTCAACGGTCGTGCGTTTTACTTTCTGCATTAACACAAACATTGCACAATATCCAAATTAGCACAATCATATTTATAAATGTTTCTATAACAGAAAGGCACCCGTGAATTGAAGTACGATGTTATTGAAAAGAAATATAGATGAAAAACCTAGATGTTCCGAGGCAGCCGTTATCTTTGTATTAGACGGGTCCGCGCTCGACAGTTCCACGCGCATTACACTGACGTCGCGTGAACTGTTGAGCGCGGA